GGAGGAGAGCAGGAGCCCTGCGGTGCTGGAGAAGGACGCTCTCTACAGCTGGAGCAGCACCCTGAGGCTCTCTGCAGACCAGTGGAGGAAGGTGGGCTCTGTGACCTGTGAGGCCACCCAGGGCGCCCAGGCTCCAGTCTCAGAGAGTCTGAGTAGAGACCAGTGTTCCCAGTAATGACTCACTGGGACTCTGCTGCTGGTTTTACTGTGATACTGCTCTCACTGTGCACCTTTCTCTCTCTCTTTATTTCATGTTTCTAAAGAATAAATATTAGCTTGTTGCTTCATATGTGTGTATTGTTTCCTGATAATCTGTTCATTAAATCAATGAGAAATACACTTTTTGTCTTTTTGTCTTTTTTTCAAAGTTGTTAAAACGACTTTTCTTTTCTTTTATCACAAACTGTCTTAAGATACTTCATCATAATGGAGCCAGTGACTACATTAAGAAATGTAGTTTCTCCATGATAACTTTACAAAGGACGAGTAAAAACACATCATGATGAGACATAAACACTGTTTTTAAACTCAGACTGAGCTCCTCAATATGTTTGATGAGCGTCATCAGTGATCACAGAACTTCAAACGATATCATTTTTCATCATTTATATAAATATTTATATAAATTCCCAAATGACAGTAAACTTGTTTTGTGCTTTATTCTCTCTACAATAGTCGGTAATAATGAACAAAACCCATGATAGCCAGCATGACTAGCTGAGACCAGAGTGCTCAGAGACCAAGATAAGATCAAGACCAAGGCAGGACAAGAAGGAGACAAGACCAGACAAGAAGAGACAAGACCAGGACAAGAAGGAGACAAGACCAGGACAAGAAGGAGACAAGACCAGGACAATGAATTTCACTGAAAAATCATCAACTTGTGTGCAGCTGGCGTGACACTCACTCAGACTGTAACACCAGGAAGGTTGCAGCCGTAACTGGGGATAAAAGTCAAACTACAAATGAATTGAAGTTAATCGTTGTTTCAAAAAAACAACCCTTTTCCTTCCTACCACAATCAATTAAGGAACAGGACTACACTGTAAGACCGAACAGTAAAAGCATGTTAAAAAAATTGGGTTGTGTGAACTCGGAAATTCAAAATAGTTATTTCAACTCTATTTTTCTAAGTTATTAGAACGCGTTTTTAGTTTGAAGTAAACAGAGCTCAACCAATTTGATTATTTTTCATAATTGTTCTCAAATTGTTTGATCTGCTCTGCATGACGTCACGGTCACGTGCGTACGTGCTCTCACCGCCATGTTTGCTCTCGCATCGAGTCGCTAAGAATGAGCCAGCTAAGCGGAGTGAACTTTACAAGTTGAGAACAATTTGGACACAGACAATAGATATTGTTATTTGTGGAGCAAATCGCAGACTTTTGAAGGGACTTTTGTTCGGACATGCAGGAGTTTTCTGTCTCTACTCTGCTGAATGCGCTGACTGCCGTAGCATTGGTGCTATCTTTGAGCTAATCTGGTGAGTAATAACTTATTTTATCACATTTTGATATCGTTTCTTCATTTAATGAAATAGTTCTCATGTCCGCAGCTATTTCATGCATTTAGTATGAAGAGTGAATACGTGTTTTCTGTTGTACTTTTGTGGCAAAGTTAGCCTATTTAATTAATGCAGTTTGCACTATTTAATGTGAAAACATTTGAAAAAATATAACTGGCTTAACTTCTTTCTTTAACTTTCTTTAACTTTTCAAGTATAAACTAAGTCTTGCTTTAAAATTTGTCTGGAAATGTTACTGGACTGCTTTTGTTTCTCGACCTCCACATGCATGTTTCTGTACAGACAACCGTTAACGTTTTTAAAAGAGGTCTTGTAGTAGTTTATTTAGTGCTATCATTTGTTAGACATTTTTGATAGGTAGGTAAACTATCAAAAATAAAGCCTGGTGTGGAAAATAACCGCATTGTGCGCGGTGTTTCTGTTGCTCCTCAACTGTAAATTAACTGTAAAGAAACATTTCTGCTAAAATGTACAGTTTAGCTCATTTTTCTATTTTCTTTGTCTTAAGGCTTAAATACAAGCAACTTGGTGATATCCGGAGTCTTCAATCAGGTATGTATATTCAAAGCACAGACTTTTAATAGACATTTCTTGTGCACAATCACTGTAAAGAGAAATCCGATGTGATGCAGATAAGGGAAGTTTATCTAAAACCTGTTCACTGTTTCATCATTCTATGCTTTGTATGTCAAACTTGCTGATTGGACACCGTTTAGTTTTACAATGGCTTGGCAATGCAAACTTTGTCCTGCTGTGTGTGACAAAAGGGCACAGTTGCTTGAACACTGTCGTTTGCATCACAGCAATTTATCCTCAATCAACCCATTGCCTTGTCTCTTTGATGACTGTATCTGCACATTTCAGTCAATAAATGCATTCAAAATTCATTTAACAAGGTTGCATAATAATACAGTTGTACCCAGTGAAAACGAGGTGGGATGTTTGTCATTCACATGTCCTTTGTGGATTCAAGCAACCATTTAATGATAAGAGTCTCCTCAGTCATTTAAGGGCACATTTAAAACACCATGAAATGGTGGACTGTCCTTTCAAAAACTGTCAAGACCGCACTAATGTCTACTCCTCCTTTAATGCCCACAAAAGTAGGACTCATCCAGACAGTGATGTTTCAAATTATAAGAATGAGATTGTCTGTACAGAAACTGAAAGTCAACCAATGCAGAGTCAGGATGAATCTGATAGGGATAGCCCTTTACCACACTCTCCTGAGCTGGATACTCCTGAGTGTGAGCCCTCTGGATCCAGAGATGACACTGATGACTTGGAAGGGCACTTCAAAAATAATTTGGCTTCTTTCTTCTTGAAAATGAACAGTGTTCTTCATGTGTCAGAGACAGCTACACAGGACATCATTGAAAATTTGGCACAAATATTCACTTTGTCCAAACCTGTTGTGAGAGAAGCTGTTGTCAATAGTTTACAAGAGCATGATCTGTCTGTCAGTGGGGCCCTTCTTCATGACCTAGAGGAGGCTATCATGAAAACTAATGTTTTTGTCAATGCTACTTCAGAAGGTGCGGAACTGTCCACTGCTAAGCGGAGGGAAACATTTGTGAGGAGTAACTATCCTTTGGTAATGCCAGTGCAATACACTTTTGATTCCAGTGAACACACAGCAGTGTATGTTCCCATTCTTCAGATGATTCAAACAATGTTTAAAACTACTGATCTTCTTGAAAAAATTCACGAGGCAAAACCGTCTCCACCAGGAATTTACATGTCTCATGAAGATGGAACATATTTCAAAGAAAATCAGTTATTGTCTGAAACAGGGGAGCTGAAACTGTCCCTGATTTTGTTGCTGTACTGCAGACCAGAAACAGTGCACTGACGTTTCTGAAGGGGAGTTTAGCATGAGAACAAGGGCCTCCCATGATCTTCATGTGCAGAATGTTGTGGAAGAAGACAAAGCAAATCACTTAGGTGTTAAAGGTCAGTGTGCTCTCAGCATGGCATTGCAGCATTTTCATCCCATCACTGGTTTTCCACCTGATATTCTTCACGACCTCTTTGAGGGTGTCGTGCCAGTTGAGATGGCCTTGTGCATCCGTGAGATGATTTGCCTGAAGTATTTCACACTTGAATATCTAAACACAAGAATTCACACATTTCCAGATCAGCACACTGATAGGCTTGATAAACCGCAACAAATTCCAAAAATTTTGCTGCCAAACGGGCATGAAAATTCCACTTTGCTTAGGTTATTACCACTACTGGTAGGAAGTAAAGTCCCTGAAGGAGATGAAACATGGGCCATATTGTTGGACCTCAAAGAAATAGTGCAGCTGGTGTTGTCTCCATCTTTCACAGAGGAGTCTTTACAGTACATGCAGACTAAAATCAGTGATCATCGACAGGGACTTCAAGCAGTGTTTCCAGACTTTAAGCTCAGACCCAAGCATCATTATGTTGAGCACTACCCAGAAATGACAAGGCGCTTTGGGCCTCTTGTTCACCTTTGGACAATGAGGTTCGAGGGAAAACACTTTTTTAAAAGAGTGATACAGGACACACACAATTTCAAGACTGTCTTGAGAACTCTTGCCACTAGGCATCAGCACATGATGGCGTATCACTGAAGTGCACATTATTTTTCAAACCCCACACACAATCTTCGAGTGTCACCTCTGTCCACGTTGCCACACTGCCTCAAGTGGCAAAAGACTTTATAAGAACAAAGACAGACAGCCAAAACATATACAGTACAACACAGGTGTCCATTGATGGCACAGAGTATGCTAATGGTATGTATGTTTCTGCAGGCCAGGCTGGAGACTGACCAAACACTGCTTGTGAATAACTCTGTTTCTTTTCTTTGCAGAAACTACGAGAGCTGGTACAGAGAGCATTTGAGGTGATTTGAGCTGACATCCTCAGACACCTGCTCTGTCATCGAGCTGTCAGAACTAAATGACACAGTAAGTTTGTCTGCATACAACATAGATGGACACTTAATACTGACAAAAAAAGATTTATTTTGATCAGAGAAATCCAGGTGTAAAATGTTATCAGAAGTGAAGAACCATATGGCCTCATGGAACAGTGTGTAGCAAAGTAAGACAGGTAAACTAAAATTTGATATGCCAGTTACGTTTACTAACATTACAAGCCTAGAAAGACTTACCTGCTACAACTGTAATGTTTTTCAAACCCCAGCTTTTAGGTGAATAATATCTGTCTATAACTGTTTCACACAAATACCTATTGTGTATGCATTGTTGAATGCTATTAGTTAATCTGTTCTCTCCCCTCTCTTCGTTTTAATAGGTAATCTTCACATACATACTTCCATGGACATTGTCAGGAAGATGACTTTGGCTTCATGTCCAGAATCTGTGACTGAGCTTGAAAAAATGACAAAAGAAAAGTTTAAGATAGACTTTGATTTTTGCTAATCATATGAAGATCCAGACTTTGACGGGCAGTTATGTTCCCTTATAGACATTGAAGAGCTTCCACAGAAGGCAGTACTTAAACTTGTAAGATCTCAGAGTGATGCCAGTTCAATTGCATCTGATGACACAATAATATTGCCTCATGCAATGACTCCAGAAAGGACCCAGAGATGGCCGGATGTTTGTCCAGTGCCAGCTTTTTCTTATGAAGTAGAACTCATACTTGTTGAGGGAAATTTGAATCATGAGAGAACAGGGAAAACCCTGAAGTTATCAAGGGGACAGAAGCATGACATTCTTGAAACCCTTGCATCCAAAATGCATAGCTTTAAAGCATATCCCAGTGATAAAGACATTTCAGTGGTTGCAGAAGCGCTTGTCACCACCCATCCTTGTCTTAAAGAACCAGGAACGCAGACAGGATGGTATGGTTGGAAAAATAGTCTGAAGTTTAAGATGGGTAACTTCTGCACTAAGTTGAGTCGGGCAGGATATAGTGAGGTAGCTGTAAATTCTGGAAAGAGAAGCAGAAACAACCCTGACAAACAATCTCCCCACACTGACATAAAGAGACCAAAAAGGGCAGAAGTGAATTTTCTCCCCAACTTTCCAAAAGGAGAAGATGGTTCAAGCCTTGAGCGACAGAGACTCCAGATTGTAGATGAAGTTATAAGGACTGACAAAAACCTCCCTCTGATTGCAAAGTTGATGCAGACCACCTTTTCCCTGCGACGCAAAGAGGTCATCAATGATGACTTGCCTGTTGGAGAGATCCTGGAGCGCTGGCCTGCCCTAAAGATGGAGTCACAGGTGAGTTTTTTTTTCTTTGTATGTGATAGGGAAGTGTAGGGATCTCAACATCAGTCACTTAGTCTGACAAGCATTTAACAAATGTAAAGTTTTGACATTTATAATGCGACAGTACATAATGTTTAAACACGTTTTGTAATGTAATGTTTTACAACTTCATTTTCCTTTTTCTTTTGAGATACAAATGCACTTCAATGTCACATTTTTATTTTACAGATTTGTGCAGAGTTTCACAGAATCACAAACATCAACCTGAAGAACCACTTCTATTCTGAGTTAGACAGACATGTCCCTCGTCTTCAGAGTTTGTTCAGGAAGAAAGCTGCGCGCACAGGGAAGGTGTCTGAAGTCCTGGATCAGCTCTTCAACACTTATGACCGCCAGGTGAGTTGATTATCCTTCTTCATGCATGATAATAATAGAACCCTGTTGGAACTCCCTATCTTCAGATTACATTAGGGCCAAATGATGATGCCATCGTTGATAGCTGACAGTCTTCTATCGTGAAAGACTGTTTGGAAAAAACACGACCAACAATAGAAACAATAAATGTCATCAAGTGTTCCCTTTTGATATTGTCATTTGACAGTTTGGTAGGCATTACCTAATCGTATTCAAATACATCATATAGGGCTATTTCTTGTGATAAATTCTGTTCCTTCCCTGTTTGGCATTTCAAATTAAGATGATGTGTTTTCTCATACTTAAGGAACAAGTTGACGTCAATGTCCTCCGTGCTGCCGTCCTCCGTGCTCTCCCTACATATCTGCATGAGGATGACTCCGGATTTCTGAAGCTGTGGGATGTAAGTCAGCATATTATTAAGACTTGTAATGAATCTGTTGAACATGTTATATATTTCATCTGTTTTATTCAGATGCTGTCATTTTGGTGTATGATTGCCATGATATTAAAAGTGAAAAAGATTAATATAGTAATAATTGTCCTGCAACATCTACAGTAGGCTTAATCTTACCTGTGAGGAATTAGTAATTAAACTTTGCATTTACTGGTCAAACCTCAATTCATGCTGCAGTTTTTAAAATTCCATTTAAAACCTGCAGAGCTGGAATAGTATGCTAAACAATATCAACATCTATAGTGAGAATAAATGCAATATAGTGATTGTTTAAAAAAGCTTGTCAGTTGAGTCATTGTCTTTCAGTACCATTTAGCTTTGATTGTTTTGAGGCCAAAAAAACAAAAAGGGGATAATTACTACATTTAAAGTGGTGAATTAAGAAATCCCTGAATAGCAATAGGGTAGTGTACTTTCCATATTTTTCCGCTGATCAAGAAACATAAACAGCTTTTGGTACATTGTCATTCTATGGGAAACACTGAAGCTTAGGCAGTTGATTTGTAACATCCTTGTCTTTAGCAGTCAGATGAACTGCAAATCGACAACATACCAGTTGGGCTCCTCCTGATCAGTGCCACTTCAACAGATGCTGCGGTATTCTGCCCCGAGAAGGTTGCCGTTGTGCTTGAGGGTAACACAGTTGAAAAAATGCCCGTTGAACTCAAAGTTGTAATGGGTTTCTGTTGGAAATGCCTGGGTTTTTCTAGTGTTGATGTACAGAACTATAGGGTAAACCTTTTGTCATTTTGCTGAAGTTGGCATTTCTTTAGTATATCTGTGTATTAAGTTGTCAACTATTCTTAAAAGTTACTGTGTTTCTGAACTATTTTACAATAGTTGTTGCTGTGTCTTTCTGATACAAAATTGGACTTTCTCTGGTTGAAGTTTGATATTTGTTTATTTTGCTCCTGTGTTGTGTCATGAGGACAGGTCTGGAGATACAATGTTTACTCAGATATATGTCATTTGAATGTTTTGTCATGCTGCTGTTTTGAAAGCCTATGAGTTGGTTCCTGAGGCATATAGGCAAAGATTTAGAAGCTGGAGGAAAGGTGATGTACAGACTCACGTAGAGTTTGCACGGGATATTTCAGCTCACTTTGCACGCTGGTGTCCTGCCTCGGAGGTAGATCATTATGATGATTTGTGTAACCTTATGGTATTGGAACAATTTAAGGACTCTGTTCCACACCACATTGCTGTACACATCAATGAGCGTAAGGTTAAGACAGCTTCAGCAGCTGCAGTGTTGGCAGATGAGTATGTGTTGACTCATGCTGGTGGCTCAGAATGGCGCTGGGGCGTAAAGGACAATGTGAAGTTTAGTCCAGGAAAGTTTGTTGGGGCTACTCAGGGTTCTCAGGCCAGTTTCAGAAGTGTACCAGGTACGGATGGTAGATTTGATCCAGGTAAACTGTGCCATTCATGTAAAAATAAGGGTCATTGGAAAGGGGAGTGTCCAATTTCCATGTCGAACAAAAGTCAACCGATCCAAGTGTGTATATGAAATCTGCTGGTCTGGTGGCTTCACTGTCATCAGTGCAGAGTCTAATGGTGCCAGGAACATCTCCTGAACTGTCATCAAAGGGGGTTGATGAAATGTATGCCCCTTTCATGTCACATGGGTTTGTGTCTCTGAATGATGGTGAGATGAAACCTGTAAGTATTTTGAGGGATTCAGGGGCGTCCCAGAGTTTCATTTTGGAACGTGTGTTGCCGTTTTCTTCTGCTACAGACACTAGGGAGACGACTCCCGTTCGGGGAATTTCTTTGGTTCCTTTGTTTGTGTCATTGCATCGTCTTAGCCTGTGTTCAGATCTGGTAAAAGGGGAAGTGGTCATGGGGGTACGGAACTCATTGCCATTGGAGGGTGTGGATGTTATATTGGGTAATGACTTAGCGGGGGCAAGAGTGTGGAAAGATGATCCACCTTCTGTTGGGGTAACAGCATCACCCGAGTGCTCTCAAGGTCCGGATGAGTGTGCTAAACAACATCCAATGGTTTTTCCTGTTTGTGCTGTGACTCGGACAATCAACTTGTCCAAATGTGAGTTTGCTAAAGCTAGGGTAACTTACCTTGGTAAGGTTGTTGGCCAAGGGAAGTACTCCTGTAAGAACGAAAGTTCAGGCTATTGACGTGTACCCTGTGCCAACAACGAAGAAAGAGTTGGGGAGGTTTTTGGATATGGTGGGGTATTATTGGGGGTTTTGCCCAGATTTTGCGACTGTGGTGGCCCCATTGACAGACCTTTTGAGTAAGAGGACGGTTTTTGTGTGGTCTCCTAAATTTGAGGATGCTTTTGTTACGGTGAAATCCTTGCTCTGTTGTTCTCCTGTGCTTGCAGCGCCAAACTTTGAGAAGCCCTTTAAACTTCAGGTGGACGCAAGTGGAGTTGGTGCAGGAGCTGTACTGTTGCAAGAAGGGAAGGGGGCTATTGATCATCCAGTCTGCTTCTTCTCCCGTAAGTTCAAACGTCATCAGTTCAGTTATTCAGTTGTGGAGAAGGAGACATTGGCACTTACTTGGGCTCTAAAATTTTTTGAAGTGTATGTAACTTTGGGGTCTGCACCAGTTACTGTATTCACTGACCAAAACCCTCTGACCTTTCTGTCCAGCATGCAAAACAGCAATCAAAGGTTGAGGCGCTGGTTGTTGTTTTTACAGCCCTACAACTTTAATATCTGTCACCTCAAGCGTAGGGATAATGTAATGGCAGATGCTCTTTCTCGGGAAGTAGTTTAATGTGTACGTACACCCAAGTGTACGTTCTTTATGGGGGAGGTGTGACGGCCCTGGCCATGGTGTTTGGCCTGGTACTGCTTGTGTTTTGTATTTCAGGGTTTGGCGTCATCTGGTGGTTGGCGGTGGCATGCCTGCTGGTCGTGGGGAGACTCGCCAGCTGGTCGTGGGGAGACTCGCCCACCTACCTGCTGATTGCGGATGGGCTTCACCTGGGTGGAAGGGCATACAAGCCGGGCTGCCAGAGCTTTCAGGGGGTTCCTCGGGTCAGATTGGACTTATCTCCCTCTGCTCTTGCATTTTTTTGGTGGTTCTGAAATAAACTAAAACCTAAGCAAGTTGACTGTGTGGACCTCCATTTTGAATGTTAGGGCCTACACGAGCTGGCCGTAACACTAGGAGGCTGCCACAAAGAGCTTGGTAACGCTGATCATTAGGAGGCTGCCACAAGAAGCTTGGAAACGTTGATCAAACTGCAAAAGATGACAACACATTAAGTTGTGAGTGCAAGTACCAGAATACCCAGAAATGCAGACAAGTCGAAATTGAATTAGAGCTCTGACCAATGAAAAGAGATAAAATTTGAACATTTAGAATGGACTAGCAATTATTTTACAAACAAATAAGCTTCAATAACTAAGATCAAGTCATGAAATTATTTTAAATTCTGCCATTTTATTAAAATATCAAACACACAGGAACAACATTAACCTTCCTGCATGTATTCACTGACAATTTGTAACCTAGAATGTACATTTACTGCTTAACCGACAGCTTTACTGAAGGAGAGTTAAATATGAATGTCACAGCAAAGGGTCTGAATACTTATGACCATGTGATATTTCAGTTTTTCTTTTTTAATAAATTTGCAAAAATTTCTACATTTCTGTTTTTGTTCTGTCAAGATGGGGTGCTGAGTGTACATTAATGAGAAATAAAATGAACTTTTTTGATTTTAGCAAATGGCTGCAATGAAACAAAGAGTGAAAAATGTAAAGGGGTATGAATACTTTCCGTACCCACTGTATATTGGTAAGTATTCATTTTTTTGAGCTGTAGTACTTTAGACTGTACCGCTGGTGTATTCAGTGCTGTTTACCAAAATTCGTGCAATGTTGATGAGGGCGAACTTTACTTTGAAAGTCTGAGTTTGCAGACTAGCTTGGTAACACTTAACATGGCCACTAGCTAGCATAATAGTCCAGACATGAACATAGCAGTCGCAAAACTGCAATTGAGAAAGGCAAAAGAATTGTGAGGCGAATGAACTTGCCCTCACTTATTATTTTACTTAAGATAGGCGTGAGGAGCGTGAGCGGGGAAGATTGTGGCCTGTTGTCTGCCCGGACACCGCGGTGTCTCTCTGCGTTCATACCGACCAGCGGATTACTTTCCCCTGAGAGCTGGACGGTGAACCAAGAATATTTATCTAACTATTTGTTGTGCGTGTATTTTAAACCTGTTCAATAGCAGTGTTTCCCTTACCAAAGACCGAACTTCAACCTGCAGACGGTTTCCCACTGATATGGTCCACTCCAGCCAGAAGACGTTATGCTAATGAGTTATGCGCCGCGAAGATGGTATCGCACATGCGCAAAGGGCGGCTCCACATTCCAACTCATTTATTTTGTGTCATCAAATCCATCCCATAGGGTAAATTGTTATACATTTTATGTTTCACTGATTAAATATATATGTGTATATTTTCAAACTAGATATTTTTAAATAAATCCAACAATACTTAAGTGTGTCACATCTAAGAAGGGCTTGAATCAGTTTTATGAGTGTTGTTAGTTTGGTTATTGGTTTTTGTTTTTGCTGTTATTTCTATGTGCAAATATTTGTAGGTTTGTTTTTTGTCCACTTTATCACCAATAAAAAAATGTTATGTAAAAAAAAATCTTATTACCCATAATCCTCTGCTTGTAAAGAGTGTGTATTGTTTAAGTGCGTTTACAATGAGGTTTATAATCCAAAACAAATATGAGGGCTGATTGATTTTTAAGGTCTTTATCATGTCTGAGCTGCTTCAGTGAAGTGTGTCAGTCTCTGCAGAAACTTCCAGCTGCAGCAGTCAGTTCAGTTTCTGTTCAGTCTGACTGAGGGAGGTTTTTGTACGACGCTTTTTCACTGTGTGAACACACTGACTGCTGATGCTATGTAAACTCTGACAGTAGTAAACTGCTGCATCTTCAGTCTGGACTCCACTGATGGTCAGAGTGAAGGCAGAGTTTGATCCACTGCCTGAAAAACGATCTGGAATCCCTGATGCTCGAGTGCTAGCATAGTAAATGAGGAGTTTAGGAGTTCCTCCATCTTTCTGTTGGTACCAGGCAAAGTAGTTGCTACATAACATTCTGACTGGTTCTACATGAGATGGAGACGGAGGCTCCCAGAGCAGAGGTCACTGCTGCAGGCTGAGTCACTGTGACCTGTCCTCTGGACTCTGAGGATACAGAGACAAAAACAGAAAGCAGCATCAGGGTTTAGTGGGCTTCATTTCAGAGGGACGGATGTTCATAGAGGAGAGGAGTTTGATTCTCTGGACTTTACCTGTGAAGCAGCAGCAGAGGAGGAGAGTCCAGATGAGGACGCACATCAAAGTCATGTTTTTGATGATGAGGACGAGGATTTCTGTTGTGATGAAGGACAGCTGTCAGTCATCCAGTGTTCAACTGTCAGGACTATAAAGTCTCCCAGAGCACTGGAGCATGGTGCTGCTGATGCAAAGTGGCTCTCTATGGAAATGTTCTGAGAAAATGGCTGATTTTTAGCTGATTCAAAATGTGTTGAAAACTAATCTGAATATGAGAAGTTTTAATTTTTTATATGGTTTCAGGTCATGCTTGACATAATCTTAAAAGGTTGTGACAATTTTTTGTTTTTAAGGGATCTGCAGAGGTTAATATGGACCAACTGTGATGGTACAAAGGCCCAGTATGTGTTCTTTATATAGTCCAAAATATTATTATTATTATTATTATTCACAATCTCTATGTCCATGGATGGTCACGTGTTTGGGAGGAGTGGGAGGTTAATTGTGAGCCAGTAAAGATGGACGTAAATATGAATGTGTCGCTAAAGGTTTAATGACTTTAGAAATTCCTTCTTTATTTTCTCATTTTAATAAGATGTTTTTCTTTGTAGTAACAACGTTCTCATATATATGAACTATACTGGAATAATACTGGAACGATGCAGCTTATCAGAGAGATGAAGAAATGATCAGAAAGTCATCTAGAAGCATTTTTCCCATTTGAATGATGAAGTATGATATCATCAGCATATAGAATCTTCAACGTTTTAGTACAGCATTATGACCTCAACATATGAAACAACTGATGTCATGTGTTTAGTTTAGCTAAAGACTACACATTATGCTCTGAATGTTTAGAACAGGAGCATGATGTTTGAAAACCTCCAAATATAATCTGTAAAAAAGTATGAATCTATTTGAAGTGTTTTTAACGTTTGGGTCCTTTATGAACGTGTTCACTTTGCAGCTTATCTACAGTGAATGTAATTTGTTTAGACTTATATTCTTAATGCTCTTTTCAAACAAACTTATCAATAAACACAGTTATACTATAAACTGTTCTCTGTTTTATGGAGCTAGTTAGCAGACAATCTTGTAAAGTGCGTCTGTTTCTATGCAGCTGTTCAGTCAGATCAGTTCCTCTTCAGCTGACGGAGGTTTTTGTACTGACGTTGTATCACTGTGTGAACGGGAGCTGCTACCCTGCTGACAATAATAATCTCCTGAATCTTCAGTCTGGACTCCACTAACAGTCAGAGTGAAGTCAGTTCCAGATCCACTTCCACTAAAACGAGTAGAAACTCCAGACTGACGGTTGTAGAATAATAAATCAGGAGTTTAGGAGCTTCTCCAGGTTTCTGAAGATACCAGTTGAGGTAAGCACTAACACTTGTGCTGGTTTGACATCTGATAGAGACAGTCTGTCCTAGAACAACAGACTGAGATCCAGGAGTCTGAGTCAGGAGGATGTCTCCTGATGAACCTGAAGAAACATGAAAAAAGAGGAGAAGGTTATTGAAACAGACGGAGAAAGATGAACAACATCCAAACAGAATCTTTGCTTTCTTAACTTTAGAGAAACGGTGGAAAAAAGGTAAATGCTGCTTCTTTAAGTTTTTCTCCATAACAGTGATTATTGTAGTGAACCTGGCCTCACCCTGAACAAGGAGCCCAAAGGTGACCAGGTGTAGAATCAATGACATCATCATCATCATCGTATGTCAGCGTCTCTGAAAGGCCTCAAACAGCGCTGATCGACACCGGCCTCTTAACGTCCGAGAGCAGAGAGGGAGGACAGATATGCAAACACACAGAGTCAGTCAACTGAAGCGAAATATGTAAATCTACCTCAAGCAAACTATACAAAAAATATGAATTTAAAATTAAAAGAGTTTGTCAAGCTTGATGAGGAATTTTCTCCTCAGTGGATGATTTTAAATATTAGTTTATAACAATACATAACAATACATGTAATGATCAATGCAGTATGATAAAAGTAAATATAATATTAAAAAACACATGAGGTTATCAATAAAAAACTTTTAAAAAAACTGTCTTGTAAGATGTTGTCAGTGTCACTTTTATAAAGAAAATATGTGCATTGTTTTATTAGTGATAACCTCAAAATTAAAAAGAATTATGAAAAAAGAAAACATGATATTTTGCATTTTTATTGCCAGACTTGTAAAAATAAGTATCGTGATCCGTATCTTTGAATGTGTTCTTAGAAAAACTGCTGCAGCTTCTTGTTACTCAGTCATGCTCAGCACAGTAAGACTTTCACATGTGTATCTTGAGAACTGAAACTGTCTGTTTCCACGGATCAGCAGTGATGCATTTCTGTTGCCATGGTTACTCAGTTTCACCCGGACGAGAGGAGGACCAGCAGGACCGGCAGCTTTGACTAAACGTTTTCTAGTTTATTTTTCTTTATCTTAATGTGGCTCAGTTACTGTCAGTCCAACAAGTGTTAACAAACTAACAAATAAAAGTGAAACAAGTAAACAAATAAAGAAGAAGGAACAACACTGTTACATTTAACACAAAGTGCACATTGAAAAAGGAATTGAGTAGCTCTCTCATAAATGTAGGCCTATATATTCACTCCAAACTGCTTCTTTGTCATGATCTCAGCTGTGCCTCTTCTTCATTGTTTCTGTGTGGTGTGTTGCTGTTTCCCTGTTTGTGTCATTCAATAAGTAACTATAACCATCTCATGTTTCTGTGTACTCAACCTGACAGTATACATGCCTTTGACATACTCTCACAACTTTCATAGCTGTTAGTTTCTAGAAAATATCTGAACACTTAACTCCTTTTTTTATTTATAACCTTTCTCCTTCAGTATTTCAATTTCAGAGAGGTGATTTCATTAGCTTTGTAGTTTAAGACTCCAAACTGTTTCTTGTGTCTTTGACATACTCATAACTTTCACAGCCGTTGGTCTCTGATAATATTGGGCCTTTAAACAGGGGCATTCCTATATGATCCACACGGGGGCGCCTGTTTTCCCAATTATGGAGAGAGTCACCCTGCAGAGCCAGACCTCAGTTTCCTCCATAGTTTATCAGTCTTGCATGCTTTACGTGGAGAGACAGGGCAGATACAGATATTAAAGCATTGCAACAATTCAAACATTGCCTGGTCTGCATCTTTTCATCAC